GCTATGGGAGGAGGAGGAGAGGAGGAAGGAGGAGGAGGAGGAGGCAGAAGACGGCGATGGGGAGGAGGAGGAGGAGGAAGGAGGAGGAGGAGGATAGCGATGAGGAGGAGGAGGAAAATGCCGATGTGCAGGGGGGAGGAGGGGGAGGAGTAACACGACCCTCCCCGGCGTCATCGTCCTCGTCCTCCTCTCCCCATCGCCATCCTCCTCCTACTCCCCATCGCCATCCTCCCTCTCCTCCTCCTCCTCCTCTTTCCCAGTGCGATCTTCTTCCTCGTCTTCCATCGCCACATCAGATTTTTTTATTTTATTTTTTTAATACGACTTTGGGATCGTAATGACGGTCACGTATGTTTGTCTGCTATGGGTGGAGGAGGAGGAGGAGGAGGAAGAAGATTGTGATCTTCTTCCTCCTCCTCCTCCTCCTCCTCCTCCTCCTCGTCCTTCCCATCCCGATCTTGTTCCTCCTCCTCCTCCTCCTCCCATAGCCGACAAATATACATAGCAGTTCGCTGGGGAGGGTCTTCTTCCTCCTCTTCCATCGCCAGGTCACCTTTTTTTTTGTGGGGGGGGGGTTGGAATCGTTACGATTGTTTGTCGACGATGGGAGGAGGGGGAGAAGGAGGAGAGGGAGGAACAAGATCGCGATGGGTAGGAGGACTAGGAGGAGGATCAAGAGGAGAAAGATCACGATCGGGAGGAGGAGGAGGAAAAAGATCGCGAATGGAGGAGAAGGAGGAGGAGGAGGTGGAGGAGGAGAAGGGGGAGAACAATTGGCTATGGGAGGAGAAGAAGGAGGAGGAAGAAGACCCTCCGATGGGGAAGGAGGAGAGGAGGAAGGAGGAGGAGGAGGAGGAGGCAGAAGATGGCGATGGGGAGGAGGGGGAGGAGGAGGAGGAGGAAGAAGATGGCGATGGGAAAGGAGGAAGAAAATGGCGATGGGGAAGGAGGACAGGACGAAGGAGGAGGAGGAGGAGGAGGCAGAAGATGGCGATGGGGAGGAGGGGGAGTAGTAGGAGGAGGAAGAAGATGGCGATGGGGAAGGAGGAAGAAAATGGCGATGGGGAAGGAGGAGAGGACGAAGGAGGAGGAGG